CTTAAATGCTTTGCTCGCCCCCACCGCCGTTAGGGAGGGCCCCAACAAACCAACCATTGATCACATGAATGAACAAAGTACAAGTTGTTAATTTAACAATCAATATCAGTATAGTAGTAATAAACCGTAAAACTGAAGGCCCATTTAAATGCACGTTGCATACTTTCACGATTAACCATTCAGTAAACCCACACACAAATACACTTTTCTAAGAATACTAACTTGCTCTTACTTTGATGTCAAGTTAATTCATCTGCACCGAAAAAGTCAATAACAACAACAACACACTTGCAATTGTCATCTATGTCAGCTTGCATTTTGAAGTGGTCGCTCATTAGAGCAAGATCGGTCACATTCTACCAACAAGCAGACGTTAGCCCCTCCCTCAATACTGAGATCTTCTAACGAAAAATCGTTGAAGACCCTTTATAATTTGTCCACAAGGGGGCGCAAATCCTCTGTACAATAACGATTTACATGTGATGCCAGTAGAAAACCATTTCGTACAGCATTCTTGGGAGAGTGGGGAAGTTTCCCCCTGACCCCCACCCCGGAATGCGAGAGGGAAGACTGGAAGTGGGAGTGCATCTCATACCTTCTGAGCCGGTCCATGTTTTGTGGGCAGGTGTACAATGTCCACTACAGCATGAGCATCAATGGCAAAGTGGAGGAAGGCACGATGGAGATCGACACGGAGAACAACATGGAAAAGTTCAGCACGGGCAGCGGGTCGGACGAGGCCGTGGAGGTCCACGATTTTGAGATAGTGAGTGAGCAAACACCTCCGGGCGCCTGTGTGGAAAGAACAGCACAAAGTTTTCGGAATATAACTCTCACACACGCACTGATTTTCAACATCAGCAACTCAATAACACATGTACAATTTTTTGTTGTACTCATCAAGACCGAACAGGGAGGAGTCGAAGAATACCTTTTTTTCCGTCTCTCTCCAGGGAATCACAGGGATCCGGTTTTCAGGGGGCGAGAAGTGCTTCATCAAAACCCAGGTGAAGGCCCGCCTGCCTGACGTGGAAGGCCTCGATAGGGACTCGATGACCTTTGACCTGGTGGGTTGGGTCTCCTTGCAGAGCCTTCAGAGTTGTGCCTTCTCTTTAGTTCGTAGAAGAAACTTCATGCAGATTTTAGAAGAACATTTTGCCCTTGTTTTGTCTGGTGGGGAACGATGCAGAGCAAACAAATCATCCGACGATATGACTACGGGTTATTTCTGCCACTTATTTGCATGCAATTGCACTGGAGTGAAATTTAATTCCTACCAAGGCCTCGGGGAAGGGGGGATTTAAAGAAAGCATTGAAAGTGCAAGTGAATCATAGCCCTGAAAACTTAAAAGAGCAACATTCGAGTCGCCATCAATAATCGGGTCCCATTGTGTCAATTTCAGGCCTTCTCGGGTGAACTCGCATCATTTTTCAGTGATATAAGGCGCTGAATCAAAGCAAGGTCAAACACGTTATGATTTTCTCTTGCACCCAACGGTCATATCTGTCATCGGTGAACCTCTTTGAATTTGAGACCGAATTGCCGCGCCACACGTCGACAGATTGATGCGGTAAATTTACGGATGATGAAATGGGCCAGATGAATCTCATCCCATGACCATGAAAACTGTCCACTGTCCAAAGACCACCGAAAGTTCCTTGCTTGCAAATCTTCTGTCCTCGATGTTTACCACTCGAACAAAGCGTTTGCGGATTGTGCGGTTAACAAACAAAGGTCTACATTCAGAATATTGCATGCACGCACCCACACGTGCGCGCCTCACCGTGATTGTTAGACTGAAGCTGTCTGATAATTAAAATCATTTAATTCCCCATAAGCTTCGCATCCACATAAATCCACATCACCAGAATTGCCTTCATAAACACACACACACACACACACACACACACACACACACGTCATTACCACGCAAGGCTGTTCTTATTGCCGTTCTCTGCGTCATAAACGATCATTTGTTTCACATTTGTGCTTTTTGTGCTCGATTGTGTTACCGTCTCCGTTTTGCCTTCGCAGTGATCGTTTGGTTTCCAGCGTTGTGTGTCAACAGGGAGATGTTCTAATGGTTGCTGCAGGCTTGTCATTTACTATAATTTAGAGTGATTGCATCGTGCACGTGGGTTCGACGCGCACACAAAAACACACAAAGCCGGGCAAGCGAGAATGGGTCATATAAACTCTTATTAGTTGTTGCAGTGGAGAAGGAGCCCTGCCTTTTATTCCCCCCCCCCAGCAAGTCATTTTGTGCTGGACAAAATCAAAGACAGGAGTAGGTCTCAAATAGCTCCGGGTAAAAACCACCGACACTTTGGGGATGTAAATACAGTATGGATGTTTGCAGTCGACAAAACCTCATTAGTTGATCAATCCGTTCAATCTTTTCCCACCCTGCAGATGGGTTGATAAGTTCTGACATCACGCATTCAGTAAAATGTAGCGCGACGCTCGAGCTCCGGGGGTCCCTCGCTTGATTTGTTGCGGCTCCGAGGGCATAGAATGCTCATCGAACGGCTCGCGTGATAAATCGCGCGAGCTTTGAAGCCTTCAACGGCCAAAGGCTCATTTCTTCTTTGCGCTTCTCAAAGGAGGACGAGGTGATGCCGGCCAAGTTTGAGGATGACCTCGTCTGGGTGGCGGCCGGGGCGCCGCTCGCGGACTCGGCTTTCCTCAGTGATAAGATTAAGGATTTGTGTGGAGATCTGCCCATCTTCTGGCTCCGTCCCACCTACTCGACCAGTAAGCAATCACACAGCTTGGTTAGCGTTAGCGCCGGTGGCAACCACTAGTGCGCGAGCGCATGCGGGAAGTCATCCAATTTCACTTGCGTGGTCCATTTCAAATGTAATTTTTATTTTTTTCGTCATGTCACTGGCCACTGAAAAAAGGATGGTGGGCCGCATATGGCCCCCGAGCCAGAGTTTGGACACCATCAGTTGATGGCTTTTGAGGGTGTTAAGTGTTGAAAAATCCAACTTTTCTCGTTCACGTGACTTCGAAACGCTGCCAAAACTTTGCAATCCGACGGCATCCTGCAGCAGCGTTGCCTTGTGCTCTCGAAAATTTGTGATGTCGTGCAGGCGGACAAAGGAAGACGAGGGCCGCCCCCCGCCACCGCCGTCAGGCACCCACGGATGAGGAGGAAGAAGACGTGGAGGCAGAGTTCAACCCGGAGAACCCCTATCAGGTGAGTCACACGCACAAAGGTGCAAAGTCTCCCCCGCTTGCCTCGCCACAAGTGTCCGCTCGGATCTGGCGTTCCCCCGAGGAGGCTTTGTGGGAGGAGTTTCTCACAGCAGCAGATGCCAAGGTCACGGTGCGGGGCGGCGGAATGTCACTGCAAATCTGAGCGAGTCCGTTTGTTTCCTTATGCGAGGGGCTCTTTCGGACAACTTTCCTTTCAGCGCCGAGGCTCGATGAATAATTCCACACACGCTACCCCCCCCCAAAAAAAAACCTGGCCTGTTTGCCCTGTCGAGCTCACACCGACTGCATACATACACGTGGTCACCCCCTTGCCCTTCCTTGCTCCATACCCCCTCCGCCTTTGTCCCTTCGACGCACGGCTCCCTCGCTTTCTTCTTAATCCTCTTTCTTACCCACCCGAGTAACCCCCCCCCTTCAAACTGGAGGTGGCGGGGGGTCAACAGAAAGCGGTTTGAACCCTACGTGTTAAAAAAAGGAAATATTTCACAACATGAGAAGGACATAGAGGCTGAATGACTAGAATCGAAGATGCTTATGACAAAAAAAAAAAGTGGAGAAAAAACAAGAAACGTCTTCTGGTTTATTGTTTTGCTCAGTATACAAATATCGATCTCGGCATGCCGCGATTCACACACTGACCTCAGTCCTCTGCCTCCCCTTAGAGAAACTTAGAGGGGGAGGATACCATGAACATCGACCCCCGGTTGGACCACGAGGGCGTTTGCTGCCGAGAGTGCCGTCGCAGTTACACGCACTGCCAGAGGATCTGCGAGCCGCTGGGGGGCTACCACCCGTGGCCGTACCATTACAGAGGCTGCCGAGTGGCCTGTCGGGTCATCATGCCTTGCAACTGGTGGGTGGCGCGTATTCTGGGCATTGTGTAAACAGGACCCCTGGCCGGCGCGGGAGGCCGTTGGGCTCGTTTTTGGAAAGAGGAGGGGAAACGACCGACAAAATCAAATTAAGAGGCGTGTCTTCCGGATTTTCATATACCGTAGGTAGCATTTGCTCTGAGCACGTATCTGGGCCTAAGTGGACAGACAGACTTAGGGTGCAAATATTCCCTTTGCGGGGTGAAAATGAGGAAACATTTTGAAATTCCGCATCTATTGTCTCACGGATCGAGTCCAACTAATATCGTACTCTGTCACTTCTTTAGCTGTAGTATAAGCTGATATTTATGATTGTCATCTGGCCCTTCTTCCCTTTCTGTTGAATGTAAATAAATGTAAATGATGCAACACTCCACTGCCAGCAGTCAGCATCTTTGATTGAATTTCTAATCAATTGTATGAGAAATAGTTCTCACCTGCATGCCCCCCCCCACTCCCCACCTGGACCCTTCATCCAAATGTATTTTTAGCTGTAACAGGGCGGCGGTTTCAAAGTGCAATATCACAGAATAAACATTTGGGGTCTTTAAGAATTGCCTTATTGTTATTTGATGACATCTATTGGTCTCGTGAGAGGGCAAGTCGGGGGACGTCCCCTGGCTGCTCTTTGACATGATCGGCACATTTGGGTTTTGCGGCACGTTACCTCAGTGAGAGCCGCGCTGAAGGGAAACACAGAAAGAAGTTTCCCCAAAGAGTTCTTTCATGTGAAAGTTGCATTTCGGTGAACTCTTTAACGAGACTGTGGCCGTCATGCTACCCGATTTTACCCACGATGCAAAGCGCTTAGCTCTTTTTGATGTTACGGTGACGCTTCAGGCCTGGGTCGGTCTCCTCATGCCCAAAGAATTTTTTGCTGCGCACGCAGAGGAGTGTCTTGCTGCCGGACTCTGTACCCCAGCTGATATTTTTTGAAAACGACTTATGGAAAGAAGCCTTGTGCAAAATGTTGACTCTGACATACGGTGGATCTTAAACAGAACAATCGCGGTGGCAATCGCGGCAAACAAGGCAACTGGCAGATGATACCAGCCCGACCCCAATAAATACGCAAACTCCTCCAGCTCGAGGGCATATCTGAAGCCCCCTTCCCTCATATCAGCGATGCCACATTTCATTCCTAGCGGCAGATTAACACAACTTGGCTCCCTGCCATCCTATAGTGATGTTCTTTGGGCTGACAGACATGCGCCCCCCACCCCCGTCCTCCACCCTCCCAGCGAGACTTTCAACCTGTCCGAAACAATTGGTAGACACAACAAAAGACGTGATGGCGTCGATGAGACAAACAAGAATGCTTTTATTTCGACATAGGACTGCATCACACCGGCGGAACGAGCGGTATAATACCCTTACCGAGCATGTGTGCAAAATCAAAGAAAATCCCAAGTGATCGTCTCAAACATCTAAATACCTCTCGTAACTTTACATTTTTATATTCTCGGCTCTTTATTATATCATTGAAATCCTTCTGGTGTATTTACATGAAGAGGCGGGCGAGGGGGAGGCCTTGTGTGCTTTGGGGACACGGTGACGCAAATATTCCGGAGACCTACACCAAAGCCACGTTTCCACCAAGCAGTTTGGTATGTTTGAGTTTGCTGTCAAAGCATATTTCTACGCGGGTTGGAGTCTGGCGACTGCTTGACAGAATCACGAGTGCCACCCGTACCGTGTACCGACGTCTGTTTTTGGACGAAGCAAACATGCCGGACGCTGTTGTGCACTAAAATGCCTTTGTTGTCTTGGTATGAAGCTTGGCCACAAGTATTTTGAACAACTGCGGTGTAAGATTTTGCCTTTATGCTCCAAGTGATTTAAAATACTGTCAACTCATCAAACTGTCATTTAAGAGCAGATTTTTCAATATATTACAAATTTTCATTGCAGCTTGTCTCCAGTCATTGGAAAAGCATGGCCAGTGAATAAGATCCAATGACTTGCTTCCCAAAATGCTTGTTTGCGAGCTAGGGTCCGTGTGAAAAACCACAAAAAAGTCGTGCATCGGAAAATACTCGGATGCATATGAGCCAATATCACCATTAGGTGCATTCGAGACGTCACCATTTAGGAAGAATTTCCGAAAAGATTTGGTATCAATTACTTTTTCACAATTACGGGATTTCGTCACTGTCCATTTGATCTATTTACAGTATGTATTTATTTATTTTTACGTTAATGTGGTGTCCGCGTTTCGGACATACGTGTTTTTATCAGGACAGTGATGACATGCCAAGAACACGTACAGCCAATGTGATGGGAAAAGAAAAAGGTTTACAATAAAAATGACGGATTTTTCTCTTTGTAATGGGATGTGAGCAAATGTTTGCCCAAAGGCACTTTTCAAGTGATATTGACCCATAGCCATCCAACACCTCCGTTTGCTATTCCAAAAATGCGCAGTGGCGAGCTGAGCTGAAATGAGCCATACGAGTTGGTGGAACGAGTTGCTTGAGTGAACACGGCGCCGCTCCGAAAGACTGCGTGCGGCCGAAAGCGAGAAGTTTTGAAACCCCCCGCTGAACTTCAGACAGGGTTAGGTAGCGAACGGTCGGGTCAAACGGAGGGTGGAAAAAAAAAAAAAAAAAAAATGTGATGGGAAAAAAAAAAAGGTTTACAATAAAAATGACGGATTTTTCTCTTTGTAATGGGATGTGAGCAAATGTTTGCCCAAAGGCACTTTTCAAGTGATATTGACCCATAGCCATCCAACACCTCCGTTTGCTATTCCAAAAATGCGCAGTGGCGAGCTGAGCTGAAATGAGCCATACGAGTTGGTGGAACGAGTTGCTTGAGTGAACACGGCGCCGCTCCGAAAGACTGCGTGCGGCCCACAGCGCGAAGTTTTGAAACC